GGTGGCGCAACCCGGAAAAGCCGCGGGCGTCAAGGACTGACGCGAGGGGGTCACCTGATGCGTCAAAATAAGACGCAGAGGGAACTTTGGAAAAGCGTCAATATGTGACGAGTCGGGAGTGAGAATGTGTAGACCCATGTCGAACCATTCAATACAGAGCTTTAGGTTCAATACACACTATGTATCAAACAATACAGATTTTTTTAAAATTTATTTCATCAACTTGTCTTCTGAAGATGTTCTGTGTTGAAGGATCAGTGGATCTGTGTTCGACTACTCCACCTAGGCTGCATTTTTTAGCACAGATCAACTGAGAAACTTGCTGTTTCAACCACATTTAATTTAAAAACTGTTCTTTTGAAGTTAAACAAATGTTCATAATTAATTTCAATTAATTACAAGTTGAAAAGGGCATGGAAATTTCTCTTTTTTGTATCAAAAAAATATCGAACCGTGACACTAAAGTATCGAACTGAAACGAATCGTGAATCTTCTGTATCGTTGCACCCCTATAGGTAGGCAGATTAGTAGATGGATGGGCAGAAAGAGGACCTCCAAGAAGCCTGACTCATATCAGGTTTTACAGAAGAGACAGATTTGAGCTAGAAATAAATCATCTAAAAATAAATCATCTTCAGGAAGACAAGTCAGTTCATTCATAAAATTAGACAGAGGCAAGTAGAAACCAAGCATAATTTCCTCCATAATGATCACTTGTAYTCATATAGTATTTTCATGATGTAGATAATTTGTGAAAATGTGATGACATCATATAAAGATATCAGTACCACTTTARAATAAGGTTCCCCTTATAGATGGCTTTTAAAGAGTTTATAGATAGGTTGTCAATTAATCTGTAAACACTTTATAAATTATTAATAAGTGTTTATTGTGCATTAATTAAGGTTAAAAAAAGAAACTAAACTGTCCAGTTTGTTTTCAAATACTGAAACAAATCTGTTTGTGTATTAAACATTTCAGACTAGTTTACAACCTTTTGGGCACAATAATGATTAAGAAATGCATATTTTAACATATATTAGTGTACTGTATTAGTGCATTATAAATATCCACAAATATGAAAGGGATCCTTATTGTAAAGTTTAAAACCGTACACTATTTTGTATTGGGTGGGATTATTTGGCATGTTAACATGACATTTTTTGTTGTTGTTGTTTTTTGTTTTTTGTTTTTTTTTTTTTGATTATCATCATTGTTGACAGAAGTTACATGCTTGAACAATAATTTCAAACAATGATAATCAACACAGAGTTTTAAAAATGTGATTTTTTACATTAAAGACTAACTTTTGGCATTTAAAATATTTATTTATCAATAATAAATAGTGTACTGTATTACACTTTATGACAAGTCTCCCTTTGACAGTTGTGAATAATGATATAATTCAGTACAATATTAATATGTTAAAATATGTGTTTCTTATCATTATTGTGCTTACAATGTAGTAACTAGTCTGAAATGTTTAATATACCACCTTTAGATGTAATATGTACGTAAACAGATTTCTCTTTATTTGGTATGAAACTGGGCAGTTTCATCTTTATCGTCCTAAATTGTTGCCTAATAAACATTTATTAATGATTTATAAAGTGTAGGCTTTACAGATGAATTAATAACCTATCTTTAAAATCTTTATAAGCC